GGTCATGGTGGATGGGCCTGTGTGCATGGGGGACATGAAGATCCTGGATCTAAAGCATCGTTGGGAGCACTCGCATGGCTAACATAGGCAGCGGGTCTCTCTACTTGGTATGCAGAGATGCAGCCTCTCGCTGGCCATGGCATTTCTCCATGATCGTACAGTACATATCCATGAAGGGAGGAGAGCCACATAGCGGGAACTGTGTGCGTGCGGGGACGGATGGACGGTGAACGAGGGTCGTGGGTTGGGCTGGGCTGGTTAGGCTGGGCTGGCTGGCTGGCTGGGGACATGAATTGGTGTGGTCTGGGGTCTTGGGGCGATCGTTCCCGCACCTCCCTCCCTCTGCTATAGCTTTCCGGGGCTCCATTTGACTGCTAACTACCCGGACCTAGGAATGCATTTCTTAGCAGTCTGCTGGGTGATGAGTTCATATAGTATCTCAAACACATTTATGAACTGTTGGCACGCTCTGCAGAGTGCCATATCGAGCAGGGCAGGTTATATCAGAGGCATGACAGGGACAAGGGACTTGAGTGGACAACGGTGGAACAGATCATGATTCTGGGGGCCACGACTGATCGACTCGGTTGGTGTTCCAGACATTTGGAGTCTTTTACGGTACGTTGGAGATTTGCAACGTTATTGCATAGAGGTGGGTTCCATCTAAATGGCTGACTGGGAATTAGTGTCTCCATCACTTCACGGTGTCTTTTCAATCCTTGCTGGAGCTTTTTGAGGTGTACAAGGAACCTCGACTCGTCTGGTTCATTGTGAAATACCATTGAGAGGATCAGGCTCCGGATCTTGAGTGCACTATTACATCACCACGACGTGCTATCATTAAACTTGTTGTGGTTCTTCTAGTGCTGTTCAGCCGTCGATAGTCTATCGTTGAGTTACTGTCAAGCTGGGTCCTGTTCTTAACCAGCTGCCGAGGACCAGAATGTAAGACTGGAGTGTTTTAAAGATGAGCGAACGAGCGATGCAACATGAGTGCGACTTTGTGACGTCCCTTCGCTTCTCATGAAGGCTGGAAGAAACAAGATTCATGCCTTGATTGACGAGAATGAAGGCAGCAGTTAGCCTAATGGACTTTTCCTACTTGATGCTAAAGTGAGACCATCTCGCGGAAGAGATGCGATGTGGGTCAAACAAAGTAATAAATGCACACGATATGAGACAAGATATCACGGGCCAAAAAAGGTGAGACATGAGAAGCAAGACGACATTCAAAGTGTTTCTCATCCTGTTTCGACTGGCACCTCGGTGAGCATGTTGATACCGTCTTAAACCCACTGACCGAACTATGGTTGACGACGCAAGCTGGTCGGGTACTGCAATGCTTCAAGTTCTGAACCGGGTTCGCCATGTCGTTTGTCTGATACCGCAAGAGTTTCTGTGCAGATACAACAACTGGAAGCTCACCTAAATAGAGCACATATGCGAATATGGAAAGAGAACTAGCTGTACGATGAGACATCAAAATGCTGATGAAGGTCTGCGGCGCAGCAACGCAACAACGTTTCATGTCGTTGAAGGCAGAACTGCTAGCAATGTAATGGCATCTGCATGCAGTTAGCATCGTGACGGCGCCCACGGGACAAGCGACAGGCAGACATTGGAGGCTAGGGCGACAAAGGGCGCTTGCGTGCATGGAGCATGGAGCATGGAGTGAGCGGCATACCCACACACCCGTCACAGGGAATGGGACCACACAGAGCACGGTGCGACAATCAGACCCAGTATAGCGGATCAGAGGCTCGCGAGGATCTCCATCTCCATATCCATCCGTCTATCTCGAGTTAACAAACTGATGGATCACTGGTACTATGCCGAATCCTTTGACTCACTATCTTGACCGGGAGAATGAAGCTGATTGGTTTGATTTAGCTACAGACATGAATTAATGTCAAAAAACACACAGACATGCTAAACTTGACCTTGTCTCATTCGTGGGTCTAGGTCCATCTCAAAACTAGGAACCTGCCTAGTGCATGGATCTATCACAAAGGAATATGCCAAAAGACCGCAACTCGGCTATCTTTCATTGTCAGATGCAAAATCGAGTGCTGGCTAGGGTTTCAAGAAACAATAATCTGTGATAGAGGAAGGATGCCCCAGTTGAAGCAGATCAAACCCTCAACACTTGATCAATATCAAGCAACAAATGTGTATATCCAACTGACACATTGACGCGTTACGAGATGCTGACAACTGATGACACCCAAGCCGTTTACTTTAGCCTACCAGAACCCATAGGCTTCAGCCGTTACGGTGTATTCTGAATTGGGTTTTGCTTTCTTTGGCGTACCTATGTGCACACGTTCAATAATAACCTTGCCCAGTGACATGTCACTGCTTGAGAGACTGGCTGGGGAGGCGCTGAGCTATAGCCGAAGCTGAGCTAAAGGTTCCAATGATGCTGATGCTGGTGATGCGGGGATCCATACTGATGTACGTGTCTGTGCTAGGAAGTTGAACAGTCTCATTTTGGTTATCCTGTCAACCCTACTCACCATCAGCTGTTTCTTATCTCGGAAACACACCTCTTGATATTGCTGCTTCTCCCGCCAGAACCGTCTACACCGCATTCTCTCACGTCTTTCGGCGATAGATTCTATCACCAAAATCATTATCTTTGCTGCTCAAAGCTCGACTCCGCCTCCGCCTGGTCGTCTCCTCTTCCTCTTCCTCACTGTGTCTTGTCTTACTCTTATACATACACACCATTTCCTACTGATAGCCAACCAGGGTTTTCGTTCCCCTGCTCGTCGACCCTTGTTCATGTCCCATGCCTTGGCTTAACTCCCCACTCACATCCCCCTCCTCCCCCAGGCTTGCGCCATCTCAACCAACCATCCTTCGTCATCCGTCTCCCTCAATCGCACCGTCTTTCCAACGGTAAGCCCTTTTACCCTCCACTCCATCTTCTTTGATATCCCAGCAGCTCTTTGTCCCACTCCCTCCTCGTCGTCCTCCTCCTCCATCCATCATCCTCCAGCGCTGTCTGTACCGAAGACGGATGCCATCCGCACCTACAATAAACCATCCATCTGTCTGTTCATCTGTGTATCAAACAACCAACTCGCCCAGACTGGCAATACGGTGATTAAACATCATCGACACCATCACCATCCTATCTTCCTATTGTCGCTACACAGCAAACTGCCTCGTTTCACTCTGCCCTATACAGCATTCCCCTCATCACATCACCTATCACCACGTCGTACGGCAGTTCTGGGGCACCAGGAGAGAAGTCCCCTCCTCGCAGGTTGTTCACCTTTAACTTGAATTTGAACCTCAAGGAGCACAGCTCACGCGCGCAACACGCGCAACTTGTACAGCGTCGGCAAAACGCAGCAAGTTGAACTTTCCCCTGTCCGCTATCAACCGTTTTGTCACTCCAGTCGCGATATGTCATATCGTTGATTGCAAATCTTGTTTCTGCCTTTGTCGCATTACCAACGTTTCTTACCTAACACGCGCCATACATCCGCCCATTCATTCATTCATTCTCTTGGAAAAGCGCAGCATTACAAAGCGCAGCATTATAAAGCGCAGCGATCGCATCACATCGCATCGCGTTGACATTGGATTGGGACCACACTTGGGTCGATACTTGATACATCCCATGCGCTAGACGATCTCCGCTTTGAACGCTTCAAACTCGTTTCTTCTCCACATCCACGCGCGCCTCCTCTGTCGCATTATCTCATACTACCTTATGCTTACCTACCTAGGTACGCTACAGTATCACTGGCGCGCAATCACCCGTGTTAGAGACCCTAATTAAGAGTCACTCACCGTCGCTTACACCCCCTGCTGCGCCGCCGCCTCCTACTCCTCCACTTCCTCCGGCTTGAACCTTTAAGGATTTGGTTCTGGTTTTTGATTCTGATTCTGACTCTTGGGTCTTGGGTCTTGATATCCCTGGTCTTTTTTTGTGGATTCTTCCTGCTGGAGCCACTTCAAGGCTTGTTGATTGGTCCATTCCTGCTCGGGCATGCTCCTGCTTCCCAAGAGTGGTTTTTCTTACCTTAGCTTCCTGGTCTCAAATCGCCACTGCGTTTACTGCAAGTGCGACTGATTCCCAGATTTCCCAGTAGCTACTACCTTAGCTGCTCGCACTACTACTGCACCTTCCCTCCCACCCCATTCAGATTCAGCGCGCAGTCCCGTCCCCCTCCTCCACCTGCCACCATCCCATCGTCCATCATTAACCCATTACCATCCATCCATCCACCATCGGCTTTCCGCCATCACACACGCACGCATACACCCGCTCCATCGCATTGTCTAACCATCCTGTTAACAATCTATCAATCAATTTGTTTGACGCGTATCCTCGAATCTTCAGAGGATCTGTTGATATTCTTGTTACGCGACCGTTCGTTGGTTTTACTTGCGCGCCATACGCTGATCTGATCATTGAGATTCATTCGTGAGCCTCTTTGACGTCGTTGTCGCATTTGTCGCACAACGCGATCCGCGTCTATATTTTATATCACTCTATCACCAGACAAAGGTAAATCCAGCCAAAGTTTGATTCTGCGTTTATTTTCCCAGTCTTGCTTTCTGCTTCTTGTTTCGTCACCTTCTGTTTTGCCTGTCGTTTTGCTTCTTCGCACGCCTGTCCCGCCGCTGCCGCGGCCAGCGTCTGGATTACTACGATCTTGTCTCGGTTTGGTTCAACTTCCGGTTGGAGTCTATGCCCCGGCCTGCGCCTGATTCTCCCTTCCGAGCCAAGGCCTGGCTGGCCAAATCGCACATCACAAGGCTAGGCAGGTTTTCCACTTTAAGCTCGCCATACATCTACAACTCGCCATTCACGCTCAACGACGCGCCTCCTTCTGGCTGCCAACCACGTGCGACTGACGTTACCTCCTTTCTGCATCTTCTCCAACCCGTCAACTCGTCAGTCCAAACATCTCTGGACACGTCGCCGTCGCTTTCCCGTGGTCGCAACTTCACCCGTCCCCCGCTGGCTCGGTAGCTCTGTGATGTACTCCGCTCAGCAAACCAACGCTGATAATGCGACGATCAATCCAGCTGCGCTCAGCTCACCTGGTAAGTTCAATAACTCTACTTCTTTCCTTTCGCGATCGCATGGCCTTCACAAAAACTCCTCCACTATTCTATCATACCATATATGCGTGCAGGTGGAATACCACTTGCGCTCAAACTCCATGATGAATTCATTTGCCCCGCACTACGCCTTTCGCGCCCTGCTACAGGATATTCAGTTGCGAAATAGGTTGCGCCACCCGTCACCACCGTCCGTTAATTCACTTCAAGATTCAATATGCTAATCTGCCTTCTCTAGTTATAGGTCTAACGCAACAACCTCAGCGCACACTCAAGCGCAGTCATTCTCCTGGACTTTACGACGCGCCGCAGCTTGGCGATGACGGTATGTCGGCGATTAGTACTCCGCCGCTACTTTACTCACTTCGGCACCCGACTACTTTGCGCCAGACATGGCGATCAATTGCGATTTCTTTTTTACTATTGTTTTCGTCTACATGCTTTGCGTCGTGTTTTGTTGTAGCACTTGCGAGCATTATGATGCAATTGGTGAGGGAACGTGCTGACCAATCTTGCAACTTGCAGGTGATACGAAACCACTTCGAAAAAAGGCAAGACCGATGAATAAACGATCAACAGGGAGCATTTCCGAGGCTCCCGGGCAGGCCGCAGGCCCGACCCTTCCTCAGTCTATTCCTCCACCGCAGACTCCCCAGTCTCAAGGCTCAGCGTTGCCACAAACGAGTCCTGCCTACGCGCCGCAGACGCAGATGCCCCCCAAGACAACTCCAACAAAGTCAACACTGAAGGCGCTGCCCACTGTGCGAGACCACACGACCGACCAGCTCAACCCGACTGGAGATGAGTATATACCCCGCGAAATCGATGAGTTCGGAGAGAAGAAAGTCCAGCTCAACGGCACGCTTAACGGAGGACGAGAATACAAGTGCCGAACATTCTTGGTTCCTAACCGTGGGGATAAATTGTTCATGTTGGCTACCGAATGTGCTAGGGTTTTGGGCTACCGTGATTCGTACCTTTTATTCAACAAGAACAGATCCCTGTACAAGATTATTGCAAGCCAGGCCGAAAAGGATGATTTGGTTGGGCAAGAAATCCTTCCCTTCTCATATCGCTCCAGGCAGATTGCCATTGTCACCGCCAGGTCTATGTTCCGACAGTTTGGAAGCCGTGTGATTGTCAACGGTCGCAGAGTTCGCGATGACTATTGGGAAACCAAGGCCCGGAAACAGGGATTCACTGAGGCTGACCTTGCCGGTGAGAAGCGCCCCGGTGCTACAAAGGCAAGAGAGGCGGCCGAGGCCCAGCAGAACAACGTCTTGTTAGCTGGTCCCCATCCAGAGATTGTGTATAGCAACAACCCAGGACCGTTCCCCGGCCCCCCACAGCCGCACCTCGTTCAACCAGGTATGATCGGACCACCACCCGGAACCACGACAAGAATGCCCGGATTGACACTAGGATCAGACCTGAGCGACTCCCGGCCGCGCGATTATTCAGGAATTCTCAAAGGCGGACCTCGTCAGGAGATCACCGGCCCTGCTTACCAAGACCAGACTCGTCCTTCGCCCCTCGGGGAGCTCAACGCCCAGGCCCATCATGCCGCAGATTTCAACAGGTCAGTTAATCAGCAGCGGGACATGCGCAACGACTATCTCCAGGGCGTTTGGCGACGCCCACATGAGCAGCCCCCCTCCAATCTGACCCAGCAGCCTGTGGCCTCGGCCGACAATTCCAACACGGCGACCAGCAGACCTTCACATTCACCTCATACTACGGCTACGGCCATGTCGCAGCAGCCTGGATTGGTTTCCACTCAGAGCCCTCAAATGATGATGACCACTGCGCCCTACTCCCAGTCGATCAGCGCGCAGAGCAGTCTCAGTCAAGCACCCATGAGAGGTATGGCTCAATCACCAACGCAGTCGATCAGACCAACACTTCCCGGTTCAGCGGGCTCCATGTCTCAGGGCACGCCTGGTTACAACTACCAATCGGGCCAAATGTGGCCGCAGACTCCGCAGGCGCCCCAGCATAGCTACGGCAGCTACACTGCTCAGTCTCAAGCACCTCACCCGTCGCAGTCACCTTCGCATCTCCGTCAAGGGAGCTCGGGTCAGATGCAAAGTATGCAGTTCCCCGGCATGGCTGGTATGCAGTATGGTGCGGGTCAGAGTATGTACCCTGCAGATCAAACGCCTCGGCAATACATGCCTCAAGGTGGCACTGGTGGACCATCGGTCTCCCAAGGCTGGTCCGGTCAGCATTCGCCAGCCCAGCAATGGTGGACTCCCGGGCAACAGCCTCAATAAGTTTGTGAACACCAGCTGGTGATGCGAAATGATGGAATGATATAGCACACGATTTCACTTGCTTTCATTGAGAATTCCAAACTGATAGTGTGGTTTGTTTGTGTTTTTTTTTTTTTTTCTTCTTCTTCGCCCCTTTTTATCTCTTTCATTTCGTTCTCGGATTGTCTTGTGTTTACATACGACTTGAGCCAGAAGACCGCTATCTTCTTGGTCTGAATTTCTCCCTCCTGGGTCTCCAAGTATGCAGATGAGTGGAGGGACTATGTGCATCTCAAGGGGCCTTCTGGCTTGAAGAATTGCTATAGTATTTGGACTGGCTGGGATAGAGGAGTCGGACAGGACAGGGGCACACGATTGTTACTTTTTATGCTTTCTTCTACTTGTTGGTTTTGATTTGAGGTAGTTAGTCTGATTAGGTACGTTCACGGGGGCAACATACCCTACTGTTCTTTGTTATAGGTTTACCAGGCCATCCTGTTGGATGCAGGCATATGGGTTCACTCTGACGTTATTTTGGCAGATTACTGGTTTGGTTTGACTTGGTTGTTCTGGTGGTACTACGAATGAGTTTTCCATTGCGACTCGCCTGTGCGTCGCAGGGTACTGTTTGTGTTGGCGAGGCATACATCTATTAGGCTTTCATTTTGATACCACGTCACTCTTCGATTCGTCCTTTTTAAACATTTCGTTCTTCTTGGGGTACGATTTTGCCAGTCGTGAAGCGTGTGTATGCATGTACGACATGCGAGTGTCGCTCGAGAAGGGTTTAATACCGACTGGGTGATATGCTTGGGATTGTTGATTCAGATTTGATATTCATGTCTATAATCTTACCTTTTCTACTTTGCGGCTTTGTTTGTTGCGACAGTAATGATGATGCTTGGTGAGAATGTTTACTGTCTTGATACTGTTGCTTTGTGATGTTCTTGCACCATGGGCTGAAGCTCAAGTCAGTATCAAAGCTGTGCAACGAACCCGGACGCGACGTGCTGTTCGTGTCTATTTATATGATACGAAGTCACGACAGCATGTTTGGACCCGGCCCAACGAATCGGGCTGTCTGGGATGTTGTCGTCCAATATTTAGGTCTTACGTACTACCTTTGAAGTGACAGCACGGTGACACCCGCCGGGATGTTTCCATCGGGACAGTATTCGCAACAGGGCTTATCTTGTGAGAGGGTAAGGAATGTGGAGTGTCTGGAGACTGTTGGCAAGGTGCGTAGTACGACAGTTGAGATTTAGGTTTGAACTGTACAGCAGACTATAGTAGGATTTGTCATACCCAGTTGTGTAGGTACAAACAAGGTGAGGGACGGAAAGTATATTAGAATAGCATGTCGATAGATTGTGTTACAGTGACGCTATGAACACCAGAGTCGCTCATCCAGCCCGCAGGGCCAATGACTAGGCACAATTTTCAATCACTCTCATCCCCATCCAAAGCCTCATCTCTTTCCTCTTTTCCTTCCTTAAGCTCAAGGGCATCCTGGGTATCATCGCCACTGGCTTCTCCCTCCTCCTCGTCTTCTTCCTCGACTTCATCGTCTTCCGAATCTTCGGGGATCTCAACCTCATCCTCCGTTACGGCATCCTCCTCCGCCTCAGCGTTTCCAGGTTCTACACGAGGGCGCTTGGTTAGGGGGCCTGTTGAGACAGCTGTCGTGTCTGCGTCGGTCTCCATGTTGGAGGTGTCTGGCATGTCAGTGTCTGCTCCGTCTGACTTTTTAGCACGGACTTTTTGCCGGTAAGATGTGCGCTTTTCAGTCTGGATAGCGTTGAACTCTGTGTAGGTTGTTAGCAGCCATGTAATATACATTCTGTCCCATGAGTAAAGACATGGCAGGGCCTAGAAAAAGACATACTGGCAAATTCAGCTTCAAGAGGTTCTCTGAGGAACGCAAACTCGGTCTCCTCAAGGGCCTTGAAGACATCTGCAGGAGAGATTGTCTTTTTACCGGCGTTCACGGTGTTTTCATTGGCGCTGATTCGCAGTTAGTGATTTTCTCCTAGGGAGAAGAAGGCTTTACGCACTGAGACGCTAGGTAGTTGATGAACACTGTGGTGCTCTGGCTTAGAGCCATGATGGCATTGGCCTGGATCTGTGTGTTGGGGGGTAGAACGCCCTTAGACAAGCGCGTTATTATAGACTTTGGAAGGGTCAGGTCCTATTGTTTGAATTAGTTAATGAGACTTGGATCTTGAGCATCCCTTGTGGATAGATATTGGACACCCGATGATTGAGAGGTGAGTGGGTTGCTATTTCTTGAACCTACCTCGATGGTAATGTGCTCCTTATGCTCCTTATGCTCCTTATCCTTGTCCTTATCCTTCTTGTCTCCATTCTGGGTCATGGAAGAGTCCCCTTCAGCTTCCGCAGCAGCAGTCTCATTGGCAGCTGGGGATGCTGGTGCAGGTACTTGTGTGGCCACGGGATCGTTGGTATGTGTCGGTGCGGGTGCTGGACTTTGCTCTACGGGGGACACATCGTCCATCGGGACAAATCGTGCAGTTGAAGTGTCGCTCTTTCGCGAGCTGGACTTGCGAGGCGGCATTGTGAGTGGTGATGAGATAGTATGTTGATGCTGGGAGGAGATGCTTTAGATGTGGCTGTGCAGACTTTGCTATCCAGCTGAGATGAGGCAAATGGGTACTTTGGTTGAACAACAATGCTTTCTCCTTATTGTATTTGATAAGTTCCAGAGAGGGAATGTTTGATATAGCGACCACTTGGTCACTGTCTTCTCAACCCCTTTCAGGTGAGGATCTCAATTCGGATATTGGAGAGCAGGGAATGTAGAGACTCGTATTGGTTTTTGTTTTGTTGGTCGGAATTCATTTACGTAGCAAAAGCTCAATCTTGATGCTTGCGGATGCTGTAGTTACTGAACAAGATAATATGTTGTTGGCTGGAAATTTAGTGAGAACGCAAGTGAAACTGGACTGAGGTTGAGTGCAAGTTTAGTGAACGCGCCAAATGGAATCGAGACGGGATGTGGCTGGACGCGATGCCCCGCTGTGAGTGGCTAGAGTCGCATTAAGTGGTTTCTTAGTGCCTCAGGAACAGACAGAGTGCGATAAAGGTACACAAAGCAAAGCAAAAGAATATCAATTAAACTTCATAAAGACGTTTTGGAACGTGACTGGTACAAGGTTAACTATGTCGATCTAAAGTTTATCTTGTTCATCTTAATTGCGTCAGTTGGATACGCCTTCGTCTATCAGTCCGATGCGCCCAAGAGTCAAGGGTTTAAGAGAAACATTGAGGGAGGCATTGTTGTCAATTTGTTTGAATTGGAGTGCGTATCTATATATATAGCATTCGTATAGGTGTTTGGCAATCCATTGATGGTGCCATGGACGCATTTGTCTGTCCTGCTCCTTATATTGACAAGAGAACTCTCGTCGCCAGGCTCGAGTCAGCCGTGGATATCATCTGCATCAGGATAAATCATGCATGTATCTGCATCGCATGAAACGGACCGTCTCGTGTCCGTTCATGTCACTTGCTCGCTTGGTCATGATAACATAAAAAGAAAAATAAAGGAAAGTCTGGGGTATATCCATCATCAAAATGCACACAAAATCCTCCGTGTTCCAGCACCGGGCATAGACGCCAGCGCATAAAACCATGGCCCCCATGGCATCCGAATGCCAAGGGTTAAAATGAGGCGGACTCAACCGGGCTCATAATTACTGCCTCTTCTAGGAGAGGAGTGAGAAGCGAAGATCGAAAATGACAGTGGGGTCTTGCGTATTCGTGAAGAGAATGTAAGTGGGTGTTTGAGGTCGAGGCTTGGGGTAGAGTTGCGTCGAACGTCATAAAGTCGGATCTCTTGGTCGTTAACGAAATGAAGCAGTATCTTCAATTTAATGCCGAGGACCCATCACGATCGAATTGCCTCCAAGTGACAGCGGCAATGGGATGGCAATGTTTCTATGGACCGGATATAGTCCTTCTAGAAATGGATCAAAAGTGATCTCGGCCTCGCCAATTTTGACTGTGACTAGGGTGCTGATGGGGTTTGACGGGGTTTGAAACAAGCCGTCACGGAAACCGTTTCTTGATACGGCTCGGGATGGTAATCAACGATACAAGGGTATGCATGTCGTATTGTGTTGCGTTGTATTGGTTCTCAGTGACAGTATCGTCAGATTCTTCTGGCTCAGCCGATGGCCCTGCCAATCTCTGATTTGCGGATCAAAGGTCGCGGTGAGAGACCTCCCAGGAAGAACTCATCGTCGAATGAGAGTCGGTTCATGTTCGACATGGAATGCATTCGCTGGTGCTGTCGTCGAATATCCAGTGACCGATTTGCTCTGGGTAGGTATTCGCTGGAACTGCGAGTGCCGAAGAAAGCATCGGGATAGTGACCGTGCCAGGGATCACGGGGTGACACTGCGCTCATAGTGCTGCTGCGACTGCTGCGAGTTCGGCTATGGCGAGCAGAGGGAGGAAGCTTGGCTAATCGTGAAGGCTGACGCTTCACAGGTGGGATAAAGGCATCTTCGCCTTGGACAGCCTCATCGGTTAGACCAGGGCGAGAATTGGGAGCACGGGCAACGACTGGGGTTGGAGGGGTGTCGATGCTGCGCTTGTGGTGAAGTGAGCGTGGTGAGAGTTCCTCAGAGACCCGGGGATGAGGGCGATCGTAGACGATAACACTCGGAGGTTTGCGTATAGAACTAAACGACGTGCTCTTCTGTCTCTGATGCTGGAGTTGCCGCTCTAGATCGTTGGCTTCGTTGTTTGCAGCCTCGATGATGCGTGCCTTTTCTTGGTTCCTGTCCTTCTTCCACGACTCAATTTCCTCGTCGCCGATGGGAGTGATGCCTCTCTTCATAAAGAGAAATCGACGTTGGCGGCTGCGGCGGTAGAGGAAACATCCGACTGCGGTGATGGCGGTGACGGGAACCACGGTCGCGAGGACAATGATGAGAGCTTGGAGGTGTGAGTCCTTCATGGCTATATCTCCATTCTGCGTCTGTATGTGAAGACGTCAGAGGGAGGTGAAGTGAGGTTGATAAGTATTAGTAAAAGCACACCGATGTTGTCAAAAGGTGTGTTGGAAGAAGAGAAGGTGAGTGAATGTTGAGCTTGGAAGAATACACTTCCGAGTTGAAGCCGACTGGGAAACGGTCAGTTACTGTACTAGATGATTTATATACTATGTGGATGAGATACGAGATGATAGATGGTGTCCATGCATATCAATGCACCGACCACTATATATCATCCATGTAACAGGCACGCACACTTTGATATTAAATGAGCAAGGTTAACTGACAATCAAGCTACTGCTCGGGATTGAGCTTCGGTGATAATCGGATTGAGTTGAATTGAATTCACTCGGTTCGATTAAACTCGATTTAACAGTCGGTATAAGTCAACCCCAAGTTATCGACGTTGGGTGGGACGTCGGTAGAGGTGAGGTGAGATGAGAGGAGTATAGGTGAGGATATATCGACCAGGAACTCAAAGGCCCTGTATATGGCACAGGCAGGACGAAGGTCAAGAGATCAGAATGTGAGTTGGGGGGATGGTTGAAGCTATATACAGACTGGGGGTTTCAAGGAGTGGGAAAGGGTGTGAAGACTACCTACAGCATTACGGTAGTAGTGGGAACATCATGGGTGAGAGTGAGTGTGCAGGCCTAGGATCGTCATGGCCAGCGAGCATGCAACGCCAGATGTTAGTCTCTACTAAGAAAATGTGCTGTATGTATGTATGTACCTAGCTAGTCAAGAATAAGAACAAGAGATGAGAGACATGCGAGATGGTGAGAGACAGGAGGTGTGAAGCCTCACTCAGAGGGTGTGGGCTGTAGTGGATAGTAAGTGGATAGGGGGTGAGACTAAGCTCTGAGCTGCTGATACATGAAACCCTGGTCTACAACCCACCAGAGAGAGGTCTGGTCTGCCAAGTATTTTCCGTACATTACGATCAAGAAGTCGACTTCTAATTACAGTAGAGTTGTATCCATTTTCGTTAACGTACAGGGTTGAGAAATGCCCTGCATTGCATTGCATTGTTAAAGAGTCGCAAAGAGACACAGACAGCACATTAAAGTGTCAATGTAGGGAGAAACAGGAAACAAGGTCACAGCCAATCTGAATCGCCCTCCAAGTTCGTGCCTGGAAGAATTGAAACTGGAATAATTCCCGCACAACCAATCCAGCTCGACTCGTGCCTTGCGTCGCACATTTTTTTTGTCCCTCATGTGTCAGTTTATCACTGAAGACAAGTGGATACATTCCCCCCCTTGTGAGACGGCGCTGGGCACAGTTCAGGACGTTTTAGGGCCACGCAGGTTTTTAGGCCAGGCCCCAGAGGGAACTGACTATTCTAGTTGGAGTCGGTCGTCCGGACCTGAGGGGCAGGAGACAGGGGATATTGATGGACTCTAGCGCCATGGCGTTGATGGATTGGAGGAGCATCATGAACGTGGCACACTCAGGGACGAAGAGTTGAGGTTGTTCCTATTCTCTGTGCATACGATCTACTGAAATAGACAGGGGTGATAAGTGGTGGGTGTGGTGAGTGAGCTCAAATTAGTGATTCCTGATTACCACGTATGAGAAGGTGATGGACGTCTATCAGAACTACAGAACAGTATTTCAACAACCTGAAATCCATACCTTGATGCTATCAACGCACCTGAATTGTATAGATCAAGAATTCACTTACAGGAGAGTCTAGCATAGAACTCTCATATATTGTGATTTACTTCGCAGAGATAGAGACAGGAACTGCTGTGCCGTGTACTTGCCCGTTTCTACGCCAAACCCATTCCTAGCAGTTGCTGTAAATAGTTCCTTCCTCGAAATATCGCGATCTACGAGGCAGTAGCAAGCCAACTCACACAACTTCCCTCACATAATACCGACTTCATGTCTCATCCCTTTTCCATCATGCTTTACTACCAACCTCAAACTTGCATTCAAAACTCACCGTCATCGACACATGCCAGGATCCCCCGGATTTGGAGCCTCACCTCCTCTTCGTTGAGCCCCCTCACATATCAACCCGCCTCTCTCTTCGTCTAAGATCACGGACACAGACTAGTCCGGCCTTGCCAAGGGTCTAAGACAAGCATGCAGCTGAGCTGAGCAGAACATGCATCTGCGCCTTTCAGCAAGGGAGATTGACAAAAACCGGTTGCTGCAGACCTCACCACTCACCAGTCCATAAACGCATGCCATCAAAACGCACAAAAAGCAAAGAAGATAAACGGCTCGGGACCCTCGTTTAATTCTTCACCCGCGATTCCAGAAATGGACGCGACATCAACGATGGATGGTATGTCACCACTCGCTCTAATCACGCACAAAGTGCTGGTGCGGTCACGCTGGTAGGATGGCATGGGCTGCAAGGGAGCAGATGGCTACTTACAAGGTTGTCGATGTCCTCGAAAACGCGGCCTCGCCTGACCCGGCTGGAATGCGCAGAGATTAAATCAGGCTCGTTGTCTTTCATCTGCCATCATGAAGCCCATGTCTCACTTTGTCACGTCTCGTCTTGCCTGTCGACGATGCGGTCTAGAATGGGGACGCGCCATAATCAGGTTATTCACGCTCAATAGCTCCCCATGATCTCGTTCTACGGCCCCTCTACGATTAAATCAATGCGGGAGATAGCGACTCGGCAAAATAGCTTCACGAATACGTGCGGCCTTGCTCCATATGTACCGGCGGCAGCTGATAATTTTGTTTCCTGAAGAATTGTGCCATTCCTTCCACGAAACGTTTCTGTGTACCTTGTTGATCATTGTCACCGTACGGAGTACAATGCATTCTTATCATGGCTCATTCGGCATGACAAGTCATTTCAGGTGAACCGAGACAAATCGACCGGGCCGGCGAGCTGGCACCGCGCCTATCAAAAATCGGAGGTGTACGGAATATGAAGTACCCGTGTAAAATCACGGGGATTGATCACTTATCTGCCTCCC